TTTCCATTTATGACCTGGAAACTCATGAAACTCAGGGAATTTCTTTTTAAAATCAGGGAAATATTTCACAGTCTTCTAGAACGTTCGATTTTCTTACATGACTGGTGACTCTGAATAACATTAGAGCCATTTCCCCTATTTCTAGTTTTTATGATCTGCTAATAATATCGCGATTCCAGATATTCTAGATTAAAAAACATTTTTATTTTACAATAGATGCACTTTTAAGTGAGCTGAATTACTCTATGAAGGAAGTGCGACGGTATAGCTTATAATCTAATTCTGTGTTGAAATATAAATGAAACAAGCGATGTCTAATACTTGTGACGGCGATGAAGACGTAGGTGATGCAAGCTCTGGAATTATTGATTATCTTTATTAGAGGTGCAGTATCTCTGGCTTTGGAGCCGGAGAGCATGGATCCAGAATCATGGGGAACTCTTGGAATGCTGAAGATTGCATCCGGGATCCGAATGCTGTACAAGTTATTCAATGATGGTGACAGCGATGAAACCGTAGATGGGGCCAATTCTTGCAGGATCCAGGAACCATATGAAGCGGTTGGGATGATGAACAGTGCGACCAGGACTCGAAAAAAGTGTATGTTCATTAGGGGTGCAGTAAATATATCTGGCTTCGGCCAGACAAATGCCAGTATTCGTTACATGATACAATAACTGGCATTTCTACCATACCTTATAGCTAGTTTTGGAGTCGCAGATCATTGACCCAGAACCATGTAAAGCCGTAGAAAAGTGCAGCTGGAACCCGAATGCTGGGCAATCTGTTCATTGATGGTGATAGCGATGAGGCGAGGCCGTGGATGTTACGAATTCTTGCAGCTCGTTTGGAATCGTAGAACAAGGATCCAGAACCATACAGTGATGCAAAATATCATGACACTCACTTGACACTCGTCAACGCATCAACCGACTATCGCTGACAAAACGTCACGCAGTGAGAGGTAGAGCCATGGCAAACAGCAACCACCGGTAATGATCGCTGCTCATAGACAAAACGTAACACTCGCTGCTGATGATGTAAAGCATAACGAAAACAGTGAAGACTTCTGCAGTACGATGATGAAAAAAAGCGAAATGACAGAAGAAAATGAAAACAATGCCTACGCATTCCAAGTTCGTCTCGGCACGCATGACTGTGAGTTACAAACAAAACTGGCAAAATTAAGCGGAAGCTGTTGGGCTCACTCACCAACACACTCACATAAGCCATCAAAGCAGCAACTGCTTCAAAACGAGCACAGATAGTTTCGTGATTGTCGGGAATGACCACATCGGAGATGGATCACCACCGAAGACGATATTCACCAGTTGCTTTTTACTTCTTTCGTCAACTTGATAGATGGTCATGTAGAGTGCTTCGACAAGCACATTGATAGGAATATGCCAGGCGTTACTACCATCAGCTGTTTGACGATCGTGATTGTGATAGGTCGCAACTCTGCACGTAGAAGTTCATTATTTCATTAATTGACCACTAGACTGTCAGTATTTGTATAAGAGGGAAGACAAAAGGCGTATAACAGATACCTATGTAATGCGGTTTATGAACACGGTTTGCGAAGTACGTGTAACGCTTGTAGCGGTCTTGATTCCTCTTTATTATGAAAGCATGAATTTCCATGACGAAATCATGAATCATTGTTACGATTTCATGGGATGGCAAGTTTTTTTCATTTAATGATTTTTTATTCATGAAAATGGAATCGGATTTGTTTCCGTGTAGGAGCGTAGTATCTCTGACTTCGGCTAGACATGTAACAATATTTGTTACCTGTCAACATAACTGAATTTGTAGCTAGTTTGTGAGCCGAAGAGCATGGAACTAGAACCATGTGGATCTCTTGGATTTCTGAAGAGTGTAGCCGGAACCCGAATGCTGGACAAACTGTTCATTGATGGTAGCAGCGATGATATCGTAGATGGTGTAAATTCTTGCTGACAACATAATTTGCATTTCTACCGGAATTTGTAGCTAGTTTTGGAGCCAGAGATCATGGATCCAGAAACCATATGGAGTGGTAGGAATGATGAACAATGCGACTCAAAAATCGTGGATGTTCATTAGGGGCGTAGTATCTCTGGCTTCGGCCAGACATATACCTCTCCACTCTTAGACGAAACAAAATTAGCAACTACCTTATTATGTATAAGACAAGGTGACAAGTGAACTAGAAACACCTGGAAAACCAGAAAAAATCGAGATTTCATTATCACCAGAAAAATAGGGAAATGATGATTTCAACAGCTTCTGAATTTCACACAAGTGATCATGGAACAAGTTTTTACAAAATGTGTTCAGGTTTAGGTTTTTATTATTAAAAATTTGCAGAAAATTTGAATGAATTTCCAATTAAATAGAGAGACGCATTAATAATCAAAACATTTAAGAGGTTTATAGACCTGTACATTTCAGACATTATTTGCTTCTCCGCAGCAAACAACAAGTAGTGGTGTCAGCTATGTACAGTCACAAAAAGCTTAATATTTTGGCTTGCGAAATTACAAAGTGTAATTTTATGCTACATTACAATTTATTATAAAAAAAATCAATTATTTTCTAAAAACATGATTTGTTAAACCAGGAATTTTTAAAATTATTGTCCAGGAAAAAAAACCTGGAAATTTAAAATGGAACTTCACTTGCCACCCTGTCACCCTGATAAAAACATGCTGCCTGCCTATAACCGGTTGATGAGCAGTTTAATTTACTTTATTATAAAATCATAATGTTATTATTTTCCGGCAAAGTATTGTAGTAAATCTTTAGCTTGACGTTTTAAATTTGAAGCCATTAAGTTTATTTTTTTTAGTTTCACTCTAACTAAACATTGGCCCACTTAGTAATGGAGCAAACTGTTTTGCTTATTACGGCACTCCTAGTGGACGTTTTTGGAAGCTTTTGACGTCTATTTGTTAGCAACATCAATAACAATAACGGTGTATTTTTAAGTTCATAAACCGCTCTTGTTTTGAAGAGGAGCGTCGAAAAAAAATCGTGCACAGTCACCTGGAAAATCCATCGTGGTTCGCGTCCAAGCTGGCTAAATTGTTGAATTTTCCTAGAAACACCGTATGGCGAGTGCTCAAAACGTACAGGAGAACCTCTTAACGCCGAATCGAAAGCCTCAAAGTAACGCCGGAGTGGAACTGCCAACCGTCAGCTCCATGAGGTCCATAAGAAGCAAACCAGGTATGTCCGTTCGCGATTGGTCCATCTGCCCAATTGCCCCAGTTCAGGCCCATCGAAAACTACTGGGGAATTATGAAGAGGACAATGAAGGTAAAAGGTACAGCCATCAAAACGGCAGCTCAGATGATACATTGCTGGGATGAAATCGCCAAAACAGTGGACGAACCCGTTGTGCGCCACTTGATGGGTCGTATTAAGGGAAAAGTTTGAGAATTCCAATCGAAACCGCGACGAATAATTTGTTTTAATAGTATGCACTTGAGTGAAAACCGTTTTCAAATCCGAGTTAAACCCATCACTAAGTGGGCCATGCTTGAATACACGCCAAAGTATGAATATTATTTATAAAGACACTAAATAACGAAATGTAGGACTTGTTGTATGATTATATTTTTGATATTCGTACTAATTACGTTTTTTTTTATTTCTCATTCTAGGTGAGTATTTTGGCATATTTAATCTATAAGATTAAGTCATATTCAACATAACGTAAGTAGTATCAGTTGATAAATAAATTTTGTTTGTAACGTAAAAAACATGTAAAAGAAAAAAAAATCAAATTTATTTCCGCCTCCAACTTTTTTCAGTGTATGAATAAAGAATATCCAATTTACTTGGAGTAATTATGTTCATATTCACAATGTTTTGATTAGGACCTATACAGAATAGGAATATTATTGAATTACTAGTTTCGGTGCTGCAGAGCATGATATATGCTAACGATGTAAACAAACAGCAAAATAATAGCTCGTTTCATACCGGTGCACAGTGGCTCAAACCCACCAAATAAACTTTCTTTTGAAGTAAGTAGAATAATGTCTATCACCTATAATGCACTGTAAATATAAAATGTTCTAAACATGCTTAAAAGTGGTTAGTGTCCTCAGAAAAGTTGTAGATAACGAAAATTTTAGCAACTTTAGTAACATTTGAAAAAGGTCTATCAACTTCTGTAAACAAATCTTGTTAGGCCCTTCTCGCACGAACCACTGAAACCCTTAAAAATATTGTTATGTTTAATTTTTTTGTCGAAGCCTTATTTAATCAGCATGATATGTTTTACCAGAAAGACATTAATTTTCGGTACAACTTTGTCTCAGACGTCATTTTGATCAGAAACTCCGTATCCGTGGCACAATTTTTAGAAAAATTCCCAGGTTTTTATTTTAGAAATTTTACAAGATCCAAAATGGCCTAATTTTAGCATAAATGTTGATCATTACTCATAACAAACAATTACGCAAAGTTTCATAAAAATTGAAGAAGGTCCATTTAACCATTAATTTTTACCGGTATTTTTCCTGGAGCTCTATACAAAGAAACTTTAGTAGCATTTCCTTGCAACAGTTTCCGAACATTCGGTCGAGTTCACTGAACATCTCTAGTTTTAATTCTAATCAGCTCCACAGTTCCATTATCTCGTCACTATCAGCTGGCGGTTCGTGAGTGTTAAACCGATTTCGCTCCCCGTTTGCATCGGAGGGAGAGCAAATCTCTCCAAACCGGCATTCTCTTGTCTCGTGCTGACCACATGATTCGATTGCTACCACGTCGCGTGGTCTGTCCCAGCTCAAAACTGTAGTCTGAGTAAAATTCTTTCCCCGTTCCGATTCCGACTCAACGTCGCCTTCTGGCTTCTGCCACGCAAAGATTTCTATCGTTTTATAACGTTTTCTCACCCATTTCTCGCGAGGTTCTCCGGTGGTTCTCTCGGCGAGAGCGAACAGCCTGCTCCACTCGAATCTCGGGAATCCGTCGTTGGCCGTTCAAACGTGGTGGTACATCGTGGCGATAGTGTTGGCTCAACTGCCTTTCCGTCCGGTTGTGGAATATAGATTGCCTGTGGATTGCGTTTCGCTTCGGCCGTGTCGTCACACGTCAATAGAGAGACTAAAGGACCAAAGAAATCCGGTTTTCTTCTAGTGTCTCGGAATTTTTGTATGCACGCGTCGTCCGGGCGCATGTTTTTTTTTAATACTTTTGGATAGTAGTTTTATCGTTTGATGAAGACGCGTTTTTTACCGAAATCATTGGATGACTAATAACCGTGCCTCATACATATATATCGAGGATTATCATCACGTAAACCCGTCAAATTCTATGGAGTTTTCGCTGTGTAATCGCGCTGAGACTGCAGTTAGTGTTGAGCTGTGCGGTCAACTCTCGAAGCAGCCGTGTATTTCGCCGTCGTCGTTGCTCCGCCATGTGATGTATTTATAGAAATTCTCGGTTCCTTCCCGGCATGTGCTCTCTAGAGGTATGGTAAATCGCTGCTGAAGACGGCATTCACAACGACGGCGACGACTGAGTGTAGTTTCGATGCGTGAAGAGAAACGGGGAAGAAGCAGGAGAGGTTATCGTTTGCACGGCCAATTTTGTATTCGGAACGCGCATTTTGGGTCCCCTCAGTAGAATCCCATTTGTGGAGAGTCGTTGCGAGGAAGAAAGTAGTTTCAGAGGGGTCAGTTAGTGATGATGTATTAATCGGCAGACCGGACGCAGACGAGTTTGTGTGCGAGCGATTTGTTGTGGCCAGTCAAACAGTGAGCTGTTCTCAGTGGAGGTCCCGAGACCGAGAGTTATCGTTTGTATCGCTTCGCAGAAGCGGGTGCAGCGGGTGTTTAGTTGTGTCTAGCAGACAAGTGGAAAAGTGCGAAAATTTTCCTCGAGAGGAAGCAAGTTTTTCCGAAGTGAAATTGCTGCAAGGCATCAATGGGTGCAGAAGATTAATTTTAGACCCGCGAAAAAGAGGGTGTGGATACAAAGCGAAGTGTATCAGCTGTGCTGAACGAAGTGTGGAAAGGAGTTCGCAGCGTAATTTTTTGAGGCTAATCAAGCGCAGAGCAAATCCGTAAGAAGATGCTTTGCGGCAGTTTTGTGTTGTTGTGTAATAAACGCGAAAACGAAACATTTTTTCTGCGATTCAGAAGAAGAGCGTAGCGGAGCAGCGGCTGATTTCAAGGACACACTGAGCAGCAGCTGAACTGAACATGTTTTTGTTGGGGATGGAATTTAGAGACTCAACTGATATCAATCCAGACACATAAGTGGAGACGGAGAGAGCCGATATTCTGCATCAGTAGGCAGAGAAAGAATGTTGTGTTGTGCCGGTGAATGCAGTAGTAGCAATAATACTGCACTGATCGTTTTTGGTGATGCGAAAAGCGGAAGTTATCGTTTAGTTCATGAGTGGAATCAATCTGGATTTCTAGATTGTGTAATTGGGGGAAAAGTTCTTTGACATGAAGGATAAAATTTACTGTTTCTACCCCACCACTTGACGTAAGATTTTCTTACAATTCTGCATAGAAAATAAACAGAATCTGAATTAAGTCACCGCATATACAGATTCTGTAATCTGGTCGGTGAAAAACTTTCCAATTAATTATATAAAATTAGTCTGTTTTAAGAACTTATGTTACATTTCTCATATGAAATATACACCGAGGATGTGTAGACAATGTCCTTCGTGAAGTTGACGAATCAACTGAACGTTTTTGGCAACATTGCACGCTATCTTACAAACATTGAACCTTGTTTGCAGCAGTCGAATACGGTTCGCATTTTTCAGCGTCTTTTTCATTAGCGACCCCGATTAGCAACTCCAAATATGACAAATAATTGTCGTTTTCGCACTTACGAACGTACGTGTTTTGTTCATATTTACTTTTTTGATTTGCACAGTGCTCCAGAATGCAGGGTGACCACTGAACCGGGAAAATCGGAAACTAACAGGGAATCGAAAACAACCGGAAAATAACCGAGAACTTGAATATAGCCTTAAAATATATATTTAATACGATCAATATATCGAATATTTGCTGTACTGCCTACTATCAAACTCTGTTGTTGGTATAGGTCTTGTTGGTGGCCTGGATATCTCATACATCTCACTGTTACACTTTTCAGAAATGTCTGATCCCATAATCTTGAACAGTTTCTTTTAGAGCAGGATCTTCAAATTTGTTACCAATCAAAGTCTAAGAAATTTGAAAAAAAAATGACCTGTAATATTTGGACGTGAGGTGAAGTTTTTGTCCTTGAAAAGGGTGGCCCTAAAATAATTTATATTAAAAAAGTAGGTTTTTAGATTTGAAATTATGTTCTGTAGCAAAGCGATAGCTCAGTTAATTTCAAGCAACTTTGACAAAAAAAAACGTTTTGTCATCTGTTAACGTTCTCATGTTGGAGTAATTTTTCAGAGTTGAACTAGGGTGTGTCAGAAATTTTTGTGTTTTATAGCTCTAAATATTTTGTTCAAATTTTTCGTGAAAGTCACATTGAAGTAACTCTTAGAGTTTGTTAAAATACACATTTTGCAGAATAAGGTAAATCGAATTTTCAAATTGTAATTTCTCAGCACGGGGCAACTACACAAAACATTTTAAGTCACCATTTAAAAGAGATTAACTTGAAATATTGTATAGACAGGTAAGAATAGTGTTATTGGATTTTCAGTAGATTTTGATTTGTTTAAAAGGAATGCGGAAAATTTGTGAAGCTGTGAAGCTCGTGGAAGTGCATAGGACTTCTTTGTTTACAATAAAGTGAGTCCTAATCAAACAACGTCCTAACCGCTCGCTATGTGACCTGCATATGGACGTACCCAAGTAACATTACAAGCTTTATAGAGGTTTTATAGCATTGTACAAGTCTAAATCATGGTTTACAGAACCCTTATAAAACCAAAATTGTTACTTGGGTAGTCGGCACAGGTATTGCACAAAAGACATGATTTGCAGCATTTTCACATTAAAGATGCACCATTATTGGTGCTCCGTGAAAGTAGAGCTATTTTTTTTTGCAATTTCAGAGCAGCAACCAATTTTCGTATTTTACTTTGAATTCTTTGAATCTTCTACACTAAAAATGAAACTAACTTAGAGAGTGAGTCACTTTTACTCCATTATGAGTAACTAATACTCATTCGTATGGAGAAATTATTAAAACCGCAGGTCTCTCAGAGCATTAGGATCCTACAATTTTAGAAATGTCTGCAAACGAAAGAGTAAAATTGTCTCACTCTATGAGTAAGATTCGTTTACAGTGTACGCGTTTAAAAAAATCCTTCAACTATTAAAACCATTGAATTAATTTAAGATTTCTTCAAAACTTCTTCAAGTTTTGTTTTTTTTTCAGATTCCTTTAAATTTATTTAAAAAATCCGAAGACTCTTTCTTAAATTATATCAAATCCCCCTTGGAATTTTTAAAATATTTCTTCTATTTTAGACATGCTAGAACAGAGTGTCGACCATAAAAATCAGGGAATATCTGGGAACTCATTTTCGGACCTGGAAAATCAGGGAATCTCAGGAAATTTAATTCAAATTCAGGGAAATATTTTTTAATCACAGAAATTTATTAATAAGTATGACTAACTTTGCTAGTTTAAAAAAAATAATTACTCGGTGTAGTTTGAGGATGGTTGTTCATTTCATATTTTAAATAGAGTTCCGAATTTGTGGTTGCTTAATGCTTGATGTTGCATTTTTGCAAGTTGAGCAAGATTTTGCGCCTAATTGAATTCAGCTCCCACTGATTTACATTCCTGAGTTGAACTGAGATACTGAGGGTTGATAAAAATCTTTCCGTAGACACTAGACGTTGTTAGTTGTTGCAAAATTAAGCCTCCAAATGGGTATGTGCGTCACTTCGTAGATATTACACCTAATAGCGTCTGACGAAGATCCTTTGGGCGCATTGGAGAGCTTTTGCATAAATTCAAGAATGGTAAAGAGTTAAGAGAAGATGATGATTTTTTCTGAACACTTGTAGTTCTGGTTCCTAATTGTGTTCTTTATAGCATGATTTGCGCAGAGAATCAACCTAATGAAAATTTAGGATAAAGGTCTTGCTTGGGTGGATATTTGCTTTGATTGCTTGGAGTATCACTTTTATGATTAAATAATGATTCATATAAACGAAGACAAGGATTGCCTCGACAGCATAGATTGGCTTTATTTAGTGTTCTAGGTTTTCATTGTAAATCTGGTTAGCTCGGAAAATTAGCTTCTCAGTTTTAGCATTGCAATTGCGATGAAATTTATTGAATGTGGCCGAAAATTAGTGTTTGTTTAAGTTTATTATCCGGGATAATTTTCTTGTGGACCTGGGTCCCCAACAAACAATTTGTGCTGATTAAGGACTAAATAAGCTATTTTTTAGCTGAAGAAGCATATTTTTGTCTGAATAGGCTCTTATTCCGCTTGCAATGTTTGTTGGGTCTCAAATTGTGCCCAAGGGAATACAAATATGAAGGGATTAAAGACAAGTGTTTCATATGCAAGATGTAGGGAAACTGGGTGAATTTCTGTCCCTAGCGTTTAGTTCGGAAACAGTCAGAAAATAACTTCAAAGCAGGGTTGAAAAGTTCACGATATTTCACGAAGTTCAACAAGAGAAAAGTTTGCGAGTCATAGTAAGTTATGATGAATATTTTCAACACTGCTTCTAAGGGTGAGAAAATATCCATGCCAAGGACCTCTTCTCATATCATGGAGTAATTCGAGTAGACTTGCTGGAAAATTTAAGCGATTAAGCAAGCCTTGTTTGCAGTTTCTTTCACACATCGCTATTGATCATGAATTGAACTGATAACCTGGCTCTTACTACTATTAAAAGTAGTTAATTTAGAAAACACGCTGCCTTTCCGTTTTTGGCAACACGTGATTTCTGTCTTTTCTACATTCAATAAAATGTATCGAACGCTTTATTCCATTTGAGATTGTACTGGACCACTCTTCATGTGTTAGAGTATAGGTCTACGTGGTATTTCATGAAAAAGGGTCCAGAAAGCACTATCCAACTAACAATTTTAACTGCAGGCTAGCTTATACAGCAAAAAATGCCATATGCAGCTAATTTATACCTGTAAAGGCTGGTCTGCAGCTAAAATTGCTTGTTGGGTAGCACATATCTGAGGAAAGTAATAGCTGATGAGGTCGTGTTGACAAAACCATGTAGACACTGCATTTGAATTTTTTTTTTTAAATTACAGGAAAATCAGGGAATTTGTTTTTATTCATTGAGTCGACGCCCTGTAGAATAAAGGCAATTCAAGAATATCTTAATAAATAATTGACATTCCTGAAATAACCTTGCGACTTCTAAGTAATTCAAGGAATTCCGTCTAAAAGAATTTTTTTAAGGGCATCCAGATTTTCTTAGTATTTTTTAACTGTCCATATTGTTTCGAGGTTAGGTCCATTCATCGGACCTTGGTAACGTTCCAAAACACTTCTATAGAAAAATCATGACATCTGATAGATCGAACGACACATTTCGGATGCGATATCGAAAGTGTCTTTATAGGTGCACTGCCGAAACCGGTTCCGAGTAATCTAAATGTGGAGAGGTCGTCCATTACTCGAACATTGGAAACGTTCCAAAACACTTCTGTACGAAAAATCATGAAGTTCGACATGTGTCGAATCTAGCAAATTTAGAGGAGAAACTAAAAGTGTCCGCATTGAGGCCTTACCGATTCTGGTACCATCATCTTCATCTTCGCATTTCAAGCTTATAAGAATATTAGCTTATTGCGTGCTCTGAACTTAGTGTTCCCGATGCACTTGAGTTTTCGTCATTTTTGCATTATGTGGCAAGTCCAATCATACTCTTTGCCCAGGGAAGTCGACAAATTTTCAAACCTGAAAAATTCCTAGACCGGAACAGGAATCGAACCCATCCACCTCCAGCATGATCTTGCTTTGTAGCTGCGCCTTTTCCGATTGAGCTAAGGGAGGCCCCCGGTTAGATCCTACAAGACATTAGCTTGATGTTGGGATACTTCTGTATGAAAAATCAATAGCTGTATGATGAAAATTGATAGGTCGAACGGCAGGTCGTG